GGTGCAGGCGGCGACGGTGGTCGCTGCTCGGTGTTACTCGTTACTTACTGAAAGTGTCCGGTAAAACCGAAACAAGGCGTACGGCGTCGTTAGGATTTTTTACAGACTAGTACGTGTGCGTGTGTATTCGTGTGTAAGTCTGTGTGGCACGCACGTGCAAGCCTGTCAAACCTGATCAGTTCTATTCCTGCTTCCTACACCATTTTTTAGGGGAAAAAAAAAAAGGAAGTTTTTTTTTGTAGAAAAACACTGTGAGTATGACGGCAAAAAATAGTAGGCTGCTGACTTTCTGCAAATACAAATCACAGATTCAATGATCAGCACCACTCAAGGTTTTGAAATTTAAATTTAAATAAAAGTTAAGATAGGGCAATTGTGTGAAAATGCACGTGTGTGCATGCCAGTAATTTTTTTCTTTTACAAGACACTTGATTCCCTTCTGCAGGATGATTAGGAGCTCATTTTTGCACAAGGCACTGGAATCCAGTCCAAAAAAATTGGACTTAGGAACAAAGCCTTATCTTTTATCTCTGTGCAGGTACTAGTGTTTTTTAAAATTATAAACAATCCAATGAACCAGGTTTGGGTTGGCTTTTCTCCTTTGAGAATATGTTTTGTATTGTGGCCCTATAAACCAACACCAAGAAGTGTCATCAGCACCTTGTGTAATTTTAATGGTAAATAGGAGGCATATCAGTTACTGTCAGAAGTTGGATTAGTTCAGAAACACGGATTACCATCTCCATTTGAAGTAGGCTGTATCTTAACGACTGTGCTGCTTTAAATAATATATAGAACTGACAATTGTCCAAAACTAAAACTAGAAATGCAAGGGATTGTTTTAGGTGAAGCCAATCAACTGTAAAATATCAAAAATGCACTGGAAATACTTGGGTTTTCATTATGAGGTACGAATGGGTTTGATACTTTGTAGCATAGGAGGATTTTGGTGTGTGGAGTGTTCTGGAGGTGAAAACTTTTCAAAGCCATTTGACTGCCGTAAGGAGCACAAGCTGATCTCAAGGAACACAGCTACTAGAAGTTCTCACTCTTTAGTGGGAAGAAAACATTAATCCCCCTCTCTTCTTTCTCTGAGTTAAATCTTGTGGTCTGCTTCTCCTTTCACTTGGAATTTATTTCCTTGTAAAAGTGTAGCTGGGGAAGAAGTTAACCTCTGTAGGCAAAGGGGAGCATGCTCTTCATTTGCTGCTGTGTTCCTTTAGCAAGTCTGATCTCTACCAAACAGTAAGACAAGGAAAATATGTTTGACCCAACTGCTTCCTCTCTGTACATTCTATTTTCCTGCCTGCCTGTCCGAGAAATGAACAATCCTGAAGTAGTGGAAAACACCACGGATACAGACAGGTGTTTTTTCTACTATTTTCAGTTTATAGGAAGTGGATAAAAAGCCTCACAGCATCATGCTAAGGGTCTTCAAGCAGCACCTGTATTTGGAATCCAGTGTGAGTGTGTCAGAGGTGATGCTGTGCTTGCAAGCAGGCTGTTTGGCTTGCACAGGGCTGGTCTGAGAGATGCAGCTCTTTTCAAGGAAGATTTTGATTCTGTTTCTTTTCTGCAGTAGGTAGTTAGCCGCTTCCTGTATTTGGCTCCTCGTGGTGTTCTCTCCACTTTAATGCTGCACTCAACAGGCAGTGACAAGAGACTATTTTAAGGCCTCTTACAATGGTCTTCTCATTTACTTAGCTAGAATGAGAACGTTAGCCTTGCATTGGCCACTTGTTAGCCGATGACAACTTTTACTTTGAATCTGGCTCCCCCTCCCCCACCTGAAATCCCTGGCTCAGCAAATATTTGAACCTGCCCAAGTTAATCATGAAACTGAGATCTTTATCTGAGAGAGACGTGCAAGCTACTGAGGGTGGTGGTTTCTTTTTTTTTTTTTTTTTTTTTCCACAGTACTAAAGTCAGGTTCACTTTTTAATGATGAACCACAGTAAGTGGATACCTTCAGCACAGCACAGCTTTAAGCTGTTAAGAGGAGAGAGAAGGCTTGGATTTTCTCACTGCGTGTTACAGCTTTTTTAGGGATTTTTATGGAACATTGGTGGGAAGGCAAAGCAATATCTTTTTCAGAATCTTTTTTTTCTTCATTGCTTCAGAGAAACTTCCTAGTAAAAGGAGTTTTTGGGACGGGTTCTAAGCAAGATTTTTGTAAGAGGAAACCGATTAATTTTTCAGGTTATTGGATTGTATTTTCAGGCTGCATTACAAGGGTGAGCGATTTGTGATGCATAACTTACAAAGTAAGTGATTTTTAATTTCTATGTGTTTTCTTCATCACCTTGTGGAAGTGTTTTGCTGTAACTGATTACCAGGTAGAGCTTTCTTGGTCTTAAGATAGGTGAATGAAAGTCAAGTACCTCAATACCTCTCGAGGTTATACAGGGGATGGGGAATTGCCTGTCTGCCTCCTATCTTTTCTTGCCTGCAAGCTAAGCTCATCTGAGCTGAGCACTAAACTGATTATACAAGTGTGGGCAGTCCAGAATTTGGCCACCAGTGAAAGCCTGGAGGAGCAGTTTTTCCTGAAAGCCTTTATTCAATGGAATAAAAAATGTTACTGACCCTACATGAGACCTAAATGCAGCAATGTAGTCCTTGTAGGAAATCTTTATAACCTAATTTAAATGATTACCTTGGCAACTCAACTGTTTAGGTAGCAGGTGGGCTAAACCTCCAAGTTCTGTGTTTGGACTTGTGTCTGGGATGATTTTAAGTATCCTATTTCATTTTGGAAATGGAAGGAATCTTTGGAGCGTGTTTACCTAAACAGGGAGGGGACAGTCTACTTCAGAATGAATTTAAGCTTGTTGGTGTATAAAGCAAACTAGCATGCATTTTTTTGGTAGCTGTTGGTACTCCAGAAGCGTTCATGTATGTTAATGATTGTCTAAAAGGGGTAAGCTGCTGAGGGGCACAGAGCAGGGGGAACGATGTGTGTGGAATATTTGGGAAGGATATAAACCGTGTTAATCTTTTTAATAAGCATTTGTGAGATAGAACACATTTCAGCCACACTAGGATTTCTGTGATGTAGGCGCAGATAGTTGCTACAGCTACTCTTTGTTGCGGTTATTTTTGGTATCTGGTTTTCTACCCCCATAGATTATAGCGAGTATAAAGCACTCGCAATGCTTTACATAGCATTCTGCCCTGGAATTAATAAGTCTGTTCTGCGCATATTTCTTCCGAGAGGTCTGAGAGAGTTACAGTCAGTGAGGGGGGGGGAGTGGGGGTAAAGAAGGAATATTTCTAAATGTTAGGAGGATACTGATGACATAAAGTCAAATGAGGAAGGAGATGCTGACAAGTGACCCTTGCTTTTAAAAACAATTTACCTGATAAATATCTCAACGAGAACAGGGTAGAGAAACAGTGTGAAAAGGTAGACTAAATCATGTTGTATCCTGACAGGCTGCCTTTTTATGTTCAGCAAAATCACTTTTCAAGATCTTGCTCAGTTTTGACTTTCTTCCCACAGTTTAGGCAAGTCTGCTGAATGCAAGATTGCAATATTTGGTCTTTAGATTTCAAAATTATTTAGTCTAGATCAATCAGAATTGTATTTTATTACACAGTGATAAGGGGGGAAGACATCTCTGCATTTTTAATAATAATATCAAGTATATCAGACCTGTGTGTCCATTAAAATAATAGAAATGTGTACAGTTTTAAAACATAATCCATATTTCATTATGTGGAGATACATACGTCTCTGCATGTATGTATGTGTAAAATGGATGTGTAATGGATGCACACGCACACACAGAGTCATGCTTTTTTCTCTTCTGTATCTTTAATATGTACGGTAGGTCCAGAAGCCTTTTAACGCTTTTTGAATGGTAAACTTCAGGTATCCGAGCAGGAAAATGTAACTGACCTACTTCCAAAGGGAGCTGCTCTGTGTGTGAGTGTGTTGTGTGTGTGTAAGAGCTACGTGCTGCAGCATATCAGCCTTTTGTCATCCTGCCAGGATTGGACTGTACCATGCTGCAAAGCCAGGAAAATGAGCCGGGAATGCGGGCAAGGAGAGCTCACTCGCTCCTTTTGTTTGTAATACCAGCTTTATTTTGCAGTTCTGCTAAATGTCGATTCTTTCCGAAACTGAAATTGTTTTAAGATTAATGTAGAACAAAATGATGAAACAGGAGTGGTCTGGTGACATTATTTTGACATGATTGGCTGAGGATTATGATGTAATAGGTTACAGTGCAGCCCCTTATAGGTTTTAAAATGAATTCCAAGACACCATTACAAAGAGAGCCTGACTCTTTTCTTGTATCTGAGCTTACTCAGTGAAACTCATACACATGTACAATACTGTTTGGAATATGGAAGAGCTGGATATAGAATATCCTAAGACAGATATAAATTGTGGCACAGACTTGATGTTTTACATAGAAATGGATCCACCAGGTAAAACTGCAGTCTTATTATGGAAGACTTAATTCATTTTGGTCTTTACAATAGTTACTGAAAAAATTCTTAGTGGATATATAGGATTTCTTTACTTTGTCATTGATACAAATAGTTTTTCTTTTTTCTTTTTTTCCATAAAGTAGAATTAAATTGTGGTTTAGTGCATGGTTATAGTAATTAGAATCATAACCTGTAGAAATACCTGTCTGCTTACTTAATTGAATTTTTACTGAATTGACCTGTTCCTGCTTTGATATTATTCTGTCAGATGTAGTTCTAATTCTGCTACTATATCATTAAAATTTTTATTTCTTTTATTATTATCTTTACAATCTCTGTTCCACACTGTGACTAAAAGGATATGCTGTCGTGACACTTTTATTTCCTGAAACAGTGATTACAAATAATTGTTTTGGATCGTTTGAGAAAAAAGATATTTTAAAATCTGGAAATATTAATTGAGTACCTGATATTGCATAGTTTTTTCATATCATATAAAAATATTATTGTATCTTGGTATTCATTGCAACTTTTAAAATATCGTCTTTTGTAACTGGTCATAATATACAGGACAGGGACGTTCGTAAGGAATAATGTACTTACTGGAGAACTAAAAGAGCAGAATTGATTTTTAATTCTGATTCCAATCTAGTCCCCCTTGCTACTAAGTCACAGGAGTGCTGCAGTATCTTCTCTGGCACCCACTGGTATATGTATGCAGCTTTGACATTGAGAAAAGGGGGATGTGTTTTTTAATCAGTCCTGGCATTTGGAACACGATTTATTCTGTAGAATACTAAGATTAACACAAGAGATATTTGGGTCACAGATGGGTTTCTTAAAATGGTTGGGGTTTTTTTTGGCAAATCATCGCACAGAATGCTGAGGATCACAAAAACCCAATTCTTCTTAAAATATACAGTATTGCTGTGGGTTTGCGTCTTTTATTACTCAGCTCCTAGATGAGGAAGCAGCAACATTCTTCTAAGATCATTACAGGAAGGGAAAAAAAAGAAGTTTTACATGTTTTATTATTTGTAATCACTTGAAGATAATGGAAGAGGTAAAATCAAACTTCAGAAAAATTTTCTCACTTTCTTCACAGGGGCAGGAAATGAGGATGATGTTATGTTTTGCTTAAAATATATTAGTGCAAAAGTAACATACTTTTTTGAAACAGTACATCTTTCTTGTTGAATTATATTGTTTTCAGTAAAATATCTTGATTCCTCTAATGTCTTTTTAAAGACTGTTACTGATGGAAAACTCTATTTTGTAACTTTTCTTTTTTTTTTTTTTTTTTTCTCATTCATGTATGATGTGTAATTTCAAGGAATATATAGTCAGGTTTTCAATGAGTTGTAATCAACTTTTTTTTTGCCCCCTTTCATCTGCAGCACTGCCTCCTAAGCCACCCAAACCTAATACTGTAACTAACAACGGCATGAATAACAACATGTCATTACAAGATGCTGAGTGGTACTGGGGAGATATCTCAAGGTAAAACAGTTCAAGACATTTATTTCTTATGTTTGCCTTTATGTTCTTACTATGCTATTCTGTGTGTATGTATTATGCTTAAATATAGGAAAATTACAGTTCTAAGAGCCATTTTTAGGATATTTTTCAACACAAATGTATTACAGTTGTTTTTTTTCCAAACATGACTAAAAAGTTACTGGCAGTCACATAGAATGTTGTATGTGAAATGATTGTTCTGTTACTTTAAGACAGCTGTATGAAATGCTAGCATGAAAAGACAACACCAAGAAATAGGTATTTTCTTCTTGTCTTTCATCCAGAACCTCAACTGTAGGCACAACCAGACTAACAAGTGCAATATATTAGCACCATTTTTAACTGTACTATATATAGGTACATTAGACTAGCACTAGCTGCTCCAATCGTGCAGGCTTGTAGGAACAAGCAGAAAGACCTTTGCATTAATATAATTTTGTCCAGCAGTGAGAGGCCATAGGATATACCATTTTTATATCCCAGTTGTTCTCCAGCAATGTTAAATAAGCTATTAAATAACTGTATTTATTAACATGGAGATCAAGAAGGCTTATAAAACCTCGTTATTTTAAAACAGAAGAATATAGAGCGCAGAGAGAGAATAAATGAGTGATAAGAAGCTGAAATGGTTACTTTTGCTTTCATTTTAGAGAAGAAGTAAATGAGAAGCTTCGAGACACCGCTGATGGTACCTTTTTGGTACGAGATGCTTCAACCAAAATGCATGGGGATTACACACTTACACTAAGGTAAGATTAGTTACACTAGTTGTGTAATATTTGACAGTAAAATGCAATACTGCATTTAAAATACAGTGCTATTTAGGAAAAAGTACTTGAAGTATGCCTAACGTTTCCACAAACTTTATTTGCAGGAAAGGAGGAAATAACAAATTAATCAAAATATTTCATCGAGATGGAAAATATGGCTTTTCTGACCCATTGACTTTCAACTCTGTGGTCGAGCTAATAAACCACTACCGGAATGAATCTCTAGCCCAGTATAATCCTAAACTGGATGTAAAACTACTGTATCCAGTGTCTAAGTACCAGCAGGTAATTTGGTCTATTTGCTTTGTGTTTCACTTAAATACAGAGAAATTACTGCAGACTGGAAAGTCATTTAGCATGAAGAACTTCAGCTCTGTTAATATTTGAAAAAATAAAGTGAGTATAAAACTGGGTATTTTTGTTTTAAAACCAACTCCACAGTTTTCATATAAATAACTAAAACTTTAACTAGTGCAGACACATTATTAAGAAATAAACTTATTTTAATAAATATTATACTCATTAATGATGAAATATATAATATTCAGTATAAAGCTGAACAGTTGCAATACAAAATGGCTTTTTAATTAATGTCATTAATGTCTCATTTGCATATTATGCATATACTATATTATATCTCCATATTGATGGAAGAGTAGTCACATCTACCATGTAACTATCTAGGCATTTTTAAGCAGTTTTATGCTGAAAATGTGTGCAATATAATTGTTTCTTTATGGAGTATCTTTTCTTCTGCTCATCGTTCCAGGATCAAGTTGTAAAAGAGGACAGCATTGAAGCAGTGGGAAAGAAATTACATGAATATAATACCCAGTTCCAAGAAAAAAGCCGAGAATATGACAGGCTCTATGAAGACTACACAAGAACATCTCAGGTGAGCTGGATTTGAAATCAAATGGAGAGTGGAAGACTTCTGTAGATTCAGGGGAATATTACTGTAAATTCATAACTGTCATCTTTCTTCATCCTCCTTCCCCTCCCTTCCACCACCACTACCATTGCCCAAAAGAGGGAACATATCTGATGTGCTTGCTCAGGATAGTAGAATCACTTACCCATGTTTGAACAGTCACCACCTGTAACCTAAGCCATGCTGTGCCCAAGTCTGACACCTGCTTCCAAAGCAAGCACAAGCTATCCTGATTTACCAACATTTCTGCACACTGCTCTCATCAAGCTGAGTTACAGTTTTCAGTTTGCAGGGAGGCGTTGTATTTTATTACTAGCTTTTGAAAGGTCTTGGTTTCATCTATGTGGGGTAGAGAGGTGTAGACACAATGCAGCAATGAAGAGCTGCTTCTCTCCTTCTTTCAACTTAATTAGCCAAGCTTTCAAATTAGCTTTCAAATTATTAGCCAAGTCTTGAAGTGCCAGTGAATTAGTGCTGTGTTACAGACCCAGAATCAAGACTGCTTCTTAAAATGTGTAGGAAATACGCCTAAAAGTAATTGAAGACAGGCAGAGAAGTGCAGGCAACTTAAACTAATGACTTAAAATACTTAGCTATTGACTAGCAGGAGGGTGGACTAGATGGCCTCTTGAGACATGTCCAGGCCCATATCTTGTGCTTTTATTTCAGAAGCCAGATGTGCATCTAAGGATATTATTTGGTACAAAGGGCAAAGTGCATCACCATAAGGCTCTAATAATCACAAATAAAATTTATTTCTACAAAACAAAGGTTATAGATAGCTCTTTGTCTAGCAGTTTTTCTTTCTGGAAAATCTCGTCATGGAAAGCCTAGTCACGATGACCTTTTGCACAGGCCTGTTCTCTCTGTGTTATAAGGCTCTGCAGACAGAATGCATTCTGGCAAAGGGCTATTGGAGTCTTCTGTTACAATATACTAAAGGGTTTCTGTGATACAAGCCAGTAAATCATCCCCTCTGTCTGATAACAACTATAATAACAATTATTTTGTTTTCAGGAAATTCAAATGAAAAGAACAGCTATTGAAGCATTTAATGAAACAATAAAAATATTTGAAGAGCAGTGCCAGACGCAAGAAAGATACAGTAAGGAATACATTGAAAAATTTAAACGAGAAGGAAATGAAAAAGAAATACAAAGGTTAGTATTTGTATTTGTATTTCAAATTGTATAATTTTGAAGAAAGAAACAATATAGACCTGCCTAAAACTAAAGCAGGATGGCAAGTTTAAAGTTGCTCAATTATAAGCAAAGCAAGCCTCAAATGGGGTAGACGAGATACTTGCCAAATGTATAGCTACATCTAGAGAAATAATCTGTTCTCTTAAGTGTCTACACTGCTAAATCAATGATTATAAAGTTATGAATAAGACATCATCAGAGTGTAACCTACCACATTATTCCATTCTAGAATTATGCACAACTATGAAAAACTGAAGTCTCGAATAAGTGAAATTGTGGACAGCAGGCGTAGATTAGAAGAGGATTTAAAGAAGCAAGCAGCTGAATATAGAGAGATAGACAAGCGAATGAACAGCATTAAGCCAGACCTCATACAGCTGAGGAAGACGAGAGATCAGTACTTGATGTGAGTATCGTTATGAAATAACAAATTTTTTTTTTTCCGATTTTTTTTTTCAATTGATATCCAACTTCTGTGACTAACAATAAGTTTTATTTGCAACTATTGTCCAGGTGGCTGACTCAAAAAGGTGTTCGGCAAAAGAAGCTAAATGAATGGCTTGGAAATGAAAATACAGAAGAGTGAGTATTAAAAGATTTAAATATTTCTGGTATTTCAAATCATCTTACACAAAAGTGAGATAAAGCTCATGTAATTCCTGGACCACACAGAGGAAATCTCAAGCGTAGGACCCCAGTGACTGTGCACACTGCTAACATGTGGCAGCCTAAATCATGCAAGTATTAGAAAGGACTCTGTCTCACCCCCTACTCTCCATTATTCAGAGAAGTATGTAATCAAGTTGCTGTAGCAAAGCACAGGAGTTTAACACGTGTCTGTATTCTTACCAGCAAAATGTAATGGATAAATTGTTCAGAAGGTCCCTTAGACATGAGCAGGATTTTTGCAAATTTCAGGTGTTGATACTATGATACTATCTAGTATAGTGGTGTAGCCACATCAGTGTATCACATTGCTGTTGGACATGATAAAATTGTGTATGCTGAAGAGCAGTCCTTCTTTGGTTTTGTGGTCTGGTTAAATTTCTAGGAAGTGGCAAGATAGTATTCTGTCATTTCAGCAATTCAGTTTACTATAGGTTCTGACAGAGGCTTGGCTAATGGATACATTTCACTTAATCCCTGGGAAAAAAGCAAAAAGCACCTGGGTGATGTGAATGTAGACCAAGCTTAAACAAAAGCAAGCCACAAAATAATATCTAAAATGTAGTAACAGTGAAAAATGAACAAACAGAAAAAGAAAGTTACCTGAATAATATTCATATCAATGTTTTCTGTCTGTGTAATTTCCTGTGCATGCCTTTTACACTACCTGGCTGAATATACAGCAAAGCAGCAGACTGACAATGACTGTTTTGTGGATTTCCATTCTACCCTTGTCCACATTTGTTTTAATTTGGCTGGGTTCATTGAGTCTTCTACTGTTATCCTGGAAAGTGTGCATCTCTGCTGTGGCTGCAGTGGTAGAAGCAGGGGATAAAAATGGCATACCCGTTTTAAAGCCATGTCATTCACTCAGTCTTAGCACAGCTCAGAGAAGATACGATGGAGAATATGCAGGCACCTGTTTCCAGTAGTACTCCCATCACTTCAACAGTAGACAAAGAACAATGCCGGGCCATAGTTTTAATGTAGCATCAAAATAGTAAAGAAGATTGTTGTTTTCTCTCACTCTCTGACTCTCCTTGCCAATGAGTCTGGTAAGTGTTCAGGTTTCTGCTGAAAAATTAAACTTTCAGAATATGACTTTAGAAAAAAAGTTGTAATACAGAAAAAAATCAATATAAGGAACAGCAGGAAAAACAGGAATCACCTTCTCTAGGTCCTGGTTGAAAATAAGAGCTACTGCTGAATCCATTTGAATACCATGCAGGACAAAGGAGTACAATAAGATAAGGGACCTAGAGAGCGTGTCATCTGAAACAAAAGAACCCTTCTTCTTTCTGAAAAATTGAACTCTGTGTGAGATTTCTGATTTCTGTAGACTACTTTGAGAATCTTCAGAAAGACAGAACTGTGGATGAGTGAGAAGTCATGTTTTCTTAGACCAAGGACATCTGATTAAAAACCTATTACAGAGGGAATAAGTACATTAACCAAACACAGACTGATTGCAAGCCGAGCAGGAGAGGCAGGGTCCAGCTGTGCAGGCTGCTGGGGGAGTGGGGAGCTCTGGAGCTGCGGAATATCAAAATGGCATCCACAAAGCTGAACCAGAGACATCTTTCATGGTGGGCTTTAGCTCAGAGGGTTCTCCGTAACTCTGAATCAGCTTTGTAGTTGGTGGCCGTTTTGGTAGAGAAGGCCCTATATTATATGCTCTTCTCATAATCTGGTTGTAAGGAGAGAGAGAGCACTCTTCTTATTCCACACTTTCCACAAAGCCATATCCCCTATAAATAATTAATCTGTCTACCTGTACAGCTGTTCATAGCTTTCCCAGGCAGCAGCTGTAGGTGATACATTGCATGATTTTTCCACTGGTGACCAAGTGTTCTCACCTTTGGAAATGAAGCTGACTCAGAGGCTTTAGATTTAGTTGGGTTTGCTGTGTACCAAAATGGTGAGCAACAGTAGAAGTACTGAAGTGACTCGCAGCAGGTTCTGAAAGATAACACCGCATCCTTCTTTATCCTTCTTCAGATTTACTTGAATGTTTTTAAAATAAGTAAGAACCAGAGCTTTTATTTTTGTTCAGTGGTTTAAACGGTACAGTATTACATGGTTTACATCCCTAGTTTTACCAGGAAGGCATTCTACTAACCACTGACTGACTTTTTTTCAAGTAATATGGAATGGGGACTACTTAATTCATGGATTTTGCTGTGCTGTGTGTTTCATTGACATGTTTTGTCTTATTTCAACAGCCAATACTCTATGGTAGAAGATGATGAGGACTTGCCCCATCATGATGAGAGAACGTGGAATGTGGGAAATATCAATAGAAGTCAAGCCGAAAATCTGCTGCGGGGAAAGCGAGATGGAACATTCCTTGTCCGAGAGAGCAGCAAACAAGGCTGCTACGCCTGCTCTGTTGTGTACGTACCCTAATTTGTGAATACATAACCAATATTTGAGGCACCTATCTTGAGCCAGGGCCAGATACACACTTGCATATGTGTGGATCCCATTGGACCTTCGGGCTTAGAAGTGGAGCAACAAGTCCTGAGATCATCCTTAATGCCACTCTGTTTCCTAAACAGCTCAGACCTGTGCCATTCCCACAGATGAGCCTCACACAGAAGGGAAACCAAAGCATGGGTGCACTCCTTTATGTGCAGCTGCTAAGTCCTGCCTGTCTCCTGCCTCCCTAAGCTAACACAACATATGGGAGTTTGGGTTAAACCAAGGCTTTTACTATTATCCCCCAACAGAAAGCAGGAGTTCTATGGGGTGACCAGAATCTTAAAATTTATTGCCAATACCTTATTTTCTAGCTTAACTTTACTGTACTGTCAGACTAAAAACTGTTTGTTTTTTTCCCTCTTCAGGGTGGATGGAGAAGTAAAGCACTGTGTGATAAACAAAACACCTACTGGGTATGGATTTGCAGAGCCATATAACTTGTACAACTCGCTCAAAGAACTGGTGCTACATTATCAACACACATCACTCGTGCAGCACAATGACTCTCTCAATGTCACACTAGCCTACCCAGTATATGCACAGCAGAGGCGATGAAGATCTTTCTACTCTGGGTTGTTTGGTTTTTTCCTAAAGAAAAGATTTGACAACATTGAGGCCTCTGGAGAGAGAAGGCTCCTTTCAGCCTTACTCAAGAATTTGAGCTGCAGTATCAAAGCTGTCTGTCTTCAGATGGGACTAGAGCTTTCCTTCACAACTGCAGTGGGAGACATCACAGTATGAAGCTGTGAACGTATGTTTCTAATCTGAAGTGCTTTTTTTTTAATTGAGAAAAGACAAACACAAGAGAGAGAAATCCTAACCTGATCTCCCTGCAGGGACATAGAGGCCTTTAACCATGGTGCTTGTTTACGACCACTTCTGAAGCTTTACCAGCTAGAACATTGGATTCGCCAAACACAAGGTGTAAGAGGTCTTTGTCATTCAGTTTTTGGAATTTCGTGGTCACGACCTGGCTTGAATTTGGTGTTGCTGCACTCTGTGGATCCAGACACACAGCATTGTGGATTTTTTGGTTTCTGGTGAATGATATGTAGCAGAATGGCACTTTCGTTTCTAAGGGACACTTTAAAAGGACTTCAGTTACAGTATGTTGTTCAGAGTAATTGTAATAGCAAAGTGCCAGGAAGTGTTTTGTTTAGATGTTTAAAAATCCTGTTTTAAGAATATATTTAAGACTGAAGAAAACAGGACTTTCAATGGCATACAGTATATAATAATGTACATAGTATTGGATGACTAACTATCATTGATGGAAACTATCAATACCAAACTGCTTCTCTTTTCCCTTTTGTGTTTGCTGAAAGCTGAATTCTTAGACCGTGCTATGCAATACTGAATTTTCTTTAGGCTGTAGTCTTCTCTTAAGCATATCTACAGGTTAAATTTGTTTTTCTTTCGTGTTTCCTTGTCTTCTTTTTTCTTTCTTTCTTTTGCCTGAGAATATTTTTCCTGATGATTATTTTTTGTTATTCTTTTTGTTGTTTGTTTGGTTTTTTTTTTAAAATGTACAGGAAGCCAGCAAGAGTTGACTTCAGAATTAAAACTATGAAATATTTTACAATTTTCTTTGTATAGAATATTGAGCTACTAGCTCAAAGTTTAAAACATTCGTAATTTTTCTTTTTGACTAAATATTTTGTTGGGCAGTGCCTGATAAGCTTCAAAGCTGCTTTATTCAATAAAAAATATATGAACATTACAAAATATCACTGAGTCCAACAATATTGTTTTAGAGATATCTTTAGAATATGGTACCACGCTATGTTTGCTTCTCGAAGCATTTTGAACTTCTATCATGATTGTCTTTGTATTATAAGACAAAAATTTCTGCATCCTTCTCTGATAGTGATTGCAGAAAAAAATGGGGATAGATAGTTTGGATTTCAGAATGAATCCATTCTTCATAGTGTATAAATGACTTCTTGACCTACTGTGGCAGAATTTTTGTCAGCATGTAAAGATATTTTCATTTGATATGAAGGAGGTTTCTCTAATCTGTTGCCTAGGTTTGTTTTTTGTATTAGTATTGTGAAAAACAGCTCCCACCTTTACTGAGAATGTTTGGATATAACGTAGAGATAATTAAGACTGGAAAATGTCTGTCTTGAAAATTATTAGCCTATCATGTTTAACATTTGGGATTTATTTTTGCAAGTTTGTAGGCTGAGGCAGCATCAAAGTGAACACTTCAATAATTTCAGGCACCAGAGACTTACAAAATTATGATTTAGTTAAAGGAAACAAATACATGGATCCCACTAGAGCAAACTTATTAGGAATTCTGGGACAACTCACTGTGAGTGGTTTGCAATGGTTATTTATTGTCCTAACACTGAGGAAATTCGCACATTGCAAACTGATAAAGTAATGGAATTTGGAGAAATCTTGAAAAAGTTTTGACTAAGTGAACATAAGAATTTTTCTTCCCCAAGTTGCAAAGGCAAGACCCATTACTATTAAAGGGAGTTGTACACACAATCAAAAGAGTAAAACCCATGGAGTTCTCTCACAATAGCTCTGTTTTAGAGCTACATGTGTTTTGATTCGAAGTACACAGTGCCTATTAAGCTATTGGAAATTGTAAGAAGAAATTTGCCAGTCTCCAGTAGTTTTTATATTATCTTTTAATTTTCACATTATTCCTTCATTTCCGAGGATGTAAGGCTTTTGATTTTATTTTGATTTTGTACTCTTTTTTTTTTTTTTTTTTTGGTGCATTATCTTTGCTTTCCTATGGATGTATTTTCTTACTAGAATTTATATCAGGAAACAAGATGCAATGGACATTAATGTTTCAGGATAGTAACCACTTACAAAATTGTTCTGAATATTTTTTTCTGAATAGAAATTTAGTCTTCATCCGTTCCCATCCTCGTTCCGTGCTCTTTTCAGGCCTGCAGGACCATGTAAATTTGGTTTACTAATAACTGGCTTTTACTATGAAAAGCACCAACAATTACTCCAGCATGCCAGTTATATTATACTACTGGGCTTGAAGTGAGAAATTAGTTCAATATACAACATTTTAACACTTGTAGCAATTCAAGATATTCTTTGGACATATGTTAATTTTTGAATGTTAAATATTTTAAGAGTAAAATTGTAATTTTTCTCTATAAACAAGATACATATAATCTGAATTGATGTTTCACATAGCATTTGTCAAGAAATTTTATCATAGTTAAGGCATTTGGATCTAATTTTCCTCATATTAAGAAAACCTCTGCTATGTCAGTGGGCCATATCCTTAGCATGCCCAGCCCAGTATGGGGTATAATTTGTTCCTGTTGTGCTGTACAACTTCTCTTCATCTGTGGTTGTAGGAGAGAAAAAAAGTAGTATATGCGCAAATTTGGCACTTGCTTTTCTTGCACAAGCAACAATGAGAAATAAGCACTATGTTGTGAGGACGAGTGCTTAGGGCTTCCTAAGGGGAAGTTCTGCCTACACAGGGTCTGTGCAGTTTGCAAGGATCACTTACACCCCCAAATTGGCACGAGTGGGTTTTTTTGGTACTTACGTATTGTGTGGCCTCTGCATTTCCCTCCCTCCTTAATGCATAGAGCTACGTCCTGCCAAAGGCCCTATTCACTGCAGAGTTGTTTGTCCTTAATATACCATAATGTTCACTCCAGTTTTGATTTGATCTCGAACAGACTAGTATATACAGGAAAAAAAGCACGTGGATATGACTGAAGAAACACGGTGCTTTTCTGTATTTCTATTAACATGTAGTTTTTCCATCTAGTGATTCAAGGGTGGGATTTGCTTTGTTGTGTTTTGTCAGTATGGGGAGTTTTTTGTTTTACCTTAAATCCCTGATTTACGCTGCACAGCAGCAGCACTTTCACAAGGCCTTTGAAAGGTATGAGACATAACACAGAGAACCAAAACCCACAAGCAGAATCAGGAGTTTCTGGTTTCCATAAGTTGAAATATGAATTTGCAGGTTTGGGGATATTTGTCTGTGCATATGCGTGCACACTTGCTGTGTTTATATATGAGTAGATCCCAGTATAGGTGCATTTTCACCAAACGTGATCATTTTGCTGAATTCAGTAAGTGATATCATTAACTTTGTTTAAAGACACACACACATGCACACTAGACCTTTGTGGGTGCAGCATGTTTCCAAATACAGTTAGAAACTGAGTTTCTGTGTTGTTGGATATTTTCTTTTTTTTTTTAAAAAAAAAAAAAAAGCTTGTCTGTATGGTTCAGTTATCTAAGAAATCTTGTCAAGCAATCTGTAAAACCAAATCTTCAAATTTTCTGTTTGGTGTCAACTGTTCTGTGGTGAAGAAATGGCTTTGTCTTGTAATTGGCAATGAAATTATAATGCTTGGGAAAACATTCAGATGCTTCTAATGGGGAAAACTCTGCCGATTTTCACACAGTGCTTTTGCTATGCATGGTATTAAGTTGGGAAAGTGAATCCTGATACTATTTTTTTTCAGGGTCACTTTAGAAACGGGCAGCTCAAAGCACAATGCCTCCCATGGGACAAGGTTCCAAAATGCAACATTTTATGTAGAATCATGTTGTATTTACTGCAGTTGAAGAGTAAACTGGACTGTGGGAGTCGGTAACGTTACATTGCACTTGTCCTAATGAGACTGCATTAGCTGCCCAAGATGCTGCTATTTTTTTTTTATTCTTGTTTTTAAAGATAAAGCTCTGTTCTGTTAAATGTCTTTAAAACATTAAGATTACTTTGTTTTAAAATGGTCTTTGAGGAGGTGGAGGGTAAAGTGGGTTGTAGATTGCCTTTACAAGGCAACAATGAAAACATGCCTCCTTTAAATTTTGTTCAAGCTATAGAGTTGATGGAGCTGTGTCTTGTTTTTAAGTTGCTTTAAAAATTGTAATAAGTCTTCAAGCAGAATAAAGGTTGTTTTGAAACTGCATTTCAATTGCTGAGGCTTCCTTAAGGACTGAGATGTCTATCTACCAGCATCCTTGGCTGGCTCTTCCTGTCTATGTGTGGCCTACTTTGAAAATGAGACCCAAATGCTTGTATCATTAGAGGGGACTAGGGAGCAAATAATTTCCGCTGACTCACAGCCGTCCTATGTATTGAACCGAATAGAGTAGTTGAGTAGCTCCAGGATAGTCTCATGTCAAACAGTGCCAAAATGACAGTTCTGCTCATCTCATATTCCTGCAAAAGTAGTACAATGTTGGTGATCTGCCTTTTACACTGCAGATCAAGTTCTGGTTCTGAAATCAGTGTGAGTTTTGTCCTTGATTTTTGTGGAGCCAGCCTGTCAGTCTTTGCAGCTAGAAGTCATGTACCAGCTTCATGGCTGCATGTAATTGCGAAAACCAATGTGAGAATGAAAAAGAGGGAGGAAGGAGGGGGGAAGGGGATTGGGCAAGACCAGTTCTGAACATTATTTTCTTCCCCTCATTATTGGTATGTGGTATCTGACATTTTTGAGCCCATCCATATCTGGCCCTATGAGAGGTCCTCTGGGGAAGTGAGCCAGCCACTCTGGAAGGACAAAAAGATTCCTATTCTCATTCTGTCCAAGGTGTCCATTCCAAACTCTGCCCACATTTTGCTCACAGTGGTCACACAATACCCTTTGACTGAGGGGGGGTAGCACAGGTACTCAGGTAGCACAGGCTTGAAATAATAATCACATTGTCACTGGCCCTTGGATGTGCTTAGAAGAAACATAGATTAGAGGCTGTTCTCATATTTTTAGCCCACTTAATAGAAAGGGAGGTTAGATCTCTGATGAACGCATCTGTTGCAGTTTTCCTCAGTAAGCTGATTCTTTTCAACAGACACCAAGTTTATCTCGTTTCTGCCCCCTGAACCGACGTTGAGTAACACAAACTCTTCTACAGCCCTAAAGCTCAACATCTAAAAGTAAGGTTAGCTGGGTCATGAATCAGGCACTATCCATCATCAGCTATTGAGAGAAGGTAGGACTGGCTGATCTTCTGGGGAGCGGCAGATTTCTTACCTGTAT